CACACACACACACACACACACTCTCTCTCTCACACACACACACACACACACACTCTCTCTCACACACACACACACACACACACAAATTAAAGATTAAATTAAAGATAAGATATCTCATGTAGAGAAACTCATGTAATAAAAAGGGTTTAAAAACAATTGAAAGTTGTAAGTTGTTCAATCTTTTCCTTTGAATGTAATGTGTTTTGTTTAACTATATGATTGATGAATTATATAACTATAATGACAGAAGCCATCTCAAGGTTATCTGAAGCGTCACGTGCCATTAGATTACACGGAGAGGGCGGGGTTTATGAGCTGTTCTGCATCCATCGAAACCATTTGGCTTCACTTTTCAGGAGCACTGCGGCACACTTGAAGGTGTAAGCTTTCCAAAAGAGAAGCGGTGGCTTTTATTATAAGTGTGTCTACATCAGCAGGTTTGTCTAATGTAGTAGTCTTTATAAGCTCAGTGTCTTGTGTAAATGAAAATGCAAATCCAAATGAACCCATGTCAGCTCCTGGGAGATGCTGTCGCATAGCAAGAGGAAAGCTGCTTTCGGTTTCAGTTTCAGGCTGGATGTGCTGGTCAGGGAGAGCTGACCAATCAGAGATGCTGCTCTTGGTTTTGCTGGGAAAGTACCCTGGGCAAGCAGTCTAGATCATCCCAGTTCTGCACAGCTACTTCAGCAGTTCACTGAGGAGCCTCTCCTGTGTTTACCTGCTTGTGCAGCTTTCTGAGAAGATGTAAGTTCATCCACTCAGCTGCTGGATCTGTCTTACTAACTTGATGTGTTTGCTGTGTATTCCACCAGTGTGTTTATTGTGCATTATTGAAGCGAGACTGCACATATTCACTGACTCTGCTCTACATCTTATATATTATGTGTGCAGTCAATCTCATTCTCAAAGTGTTCATTTATTTCCTTATTGCAATCTTCTCTTTTAAACAGTTAATATGTGATAGAGTTATGATGACTCGGCACTGATTTCCTGAAACCTATTAACATGAGCCACATCTAGTTCTAGTGTTACAAGTCTGGCACTGAGAAGCAGATTAGACATGTTTACTGCTGTCTGGCAAGTGTACATGTTCTGTTGAGACCCATTATTTATGCAGTAAATCATATTACAGGTAAATTAGGAATATATAGCGCTGAAAGATATGTTAAACTTAATAAATATTAATATTTTAGTGCATTTTGTATTGTTTAGCTTGTGTTATTGATCAATTGTAGATGCTCACAAACAGAGAGAGTTTCTAGGCACTGTAAAAAAGGCAAAAAGCTAATAAAGTAAATGCAGAAACTGTAGCTTGGGTGGCACTCTTAAAACCCGTTCACACCAAGAACAATAACTATAAACATAACTGTAATGATAAAGAATAACAGCTTACTAATATTTCTGAACAGAGAGTCCCCCCTCACTACAGTGTGTCATAAGTTCAGTATTGCAATATTATCGTATCGTGAGATTTTGATATCGTTACATCCCTATTTATGAATGTATGTTTGCCAACATACTGTAAATGACATGATCATGATGAGTATTTTTGGTGGAGAATCCCCTGAGGGATAAATAGGGATGTGACGGTATCAAAATCTCCTGATACGATAGTCTCGCGATATGAAGTCCACGATACGATATTTCCCAAAGCATAATAGCCCAAAACACAACTTTAAAGACCTTTTATGTTAGAATAAGAAGTTTAAATATATTTTATATATTTGTCCGGAAGACCTATCGTTTCATATCGTCATGTGACCACGATAATATCTAGACGATAATATTTTCCTATCGCGATATTGATAATACCGTTTCATCTCTATTCATAAATATACCCACAAGCAGCAATGTTTTAGGCCGAGCAAGAGAGCATCAGAACAGTAGAATAAAATGCTTATTACTTTTCAAAAATCTGCTTCTGCCGTCATTTACACAGGAATATTATTAAAACTAATTTAATGATACAGACTTTTAGAATGATACAGGACATTTTGACACACACAAACACTAATACATTTACATGCACAAGTGTCTGTAAATAATTCTGTTATATAACTGTTTCTGTCTTATTTCAAGACCCTCATATAAAGGGAAAATGTCTTGGAGTAATACCATCTCTACAAATCTGGGAAGGTGTTCAGAAGCGCTTGCTGGCAAGTATATTGTGTTGAAGTGTATTATTTGTGATGAATTATTTACCTTTTTCAGAATGTTAAAGTGCCCCTATTATGGGTTATGAAAGGTTCATATTTTGGTTTTAGGTTGACATGCATGCAAGGTCAAAAACACTTTCATAGTCTTATAATATGCATTTATTTTTACCTTATTTGCTCAACGACTCCCAATCGATTCACGCAACGATAAATTTTTCCAAACCCCTCCTTTGCGTAATGCTAATCTGCGCTGATTGGTCGATTTCATTTCCATTTCATAATAAAAGCAGTGTACAGCGTTACCGGGGAAACCACTATTTTTACTGCTCCAAAAGCGACATCTAGTGGCAAAGAATGAGTTAGCATTTTCATTCAGACCAACGCGATATCAAGAAGTGGGCGGGCAACATGCTAATGTTTCATGTTGAAGTCAACATGGGATTCGTTTTAAAAACGACTCGTTTAAACGATTCAGAGTCGACTCTTTCTTTTGAGAGACAATAACTTTATACACGGTGCACTTTCAGATTTAAAACTTTGCAGGATGTTTTCATTCACCTAGTTACACACTGCATGAAAGGTAATTTTCAAAAATACATAATAGGGGCTCTTGAATTACTCTTGGTCCGGGTGGGTGGGGTATATACTCCCAAACTAAAACCAAAGTAATACACTGAAAAATATAACTCAGTTAAAATGAACAAAGTGAAAAAAGTGGGAAAAAAAACAAAGTGGTGTTACACAGTCTTGCTCTAACAAACAACAGAATTATCAAGAATTAACCTTTTAAAAATAATGAAATCATTAAAGGGGTCATATGATGCTGCTAAAAAGAACATTATGTTG